GCTGAGGCTGGGCTGCCGCAGGTGGTAAAGAAGAAGCAGCGGACCCGCATGCTGGAGTTCTTCATCGACGTGGCCCGGGAGTGCTTCAACATCGGGAACTTCAACTCCATGATGGCCATCATCTGTGAGTGTCCGGCCGGGCGCCCACCCAGCTCCCCTCTGACCCACCTGCCGCCCTGACCCTCCTCGCTTTTCTCTGCAGCTGGCATGAACCTCAGTCCTGTGGCTCGGCTGAAGAAAACATGGTCCAAAGTTAAGACGGCCAAGTTCGATGTCTTGGAGGTAGGCACCCGGCCTCGTCCTGTGTTGGCCTGAGGAGGTGGGCCTCGGCCACACTGTACCCTTTGCTCAGGGCCTGCTGCCCACAGTGCAGGCTGGGGCTGGGCTGTCCTCAGCCCTGCCTTCCGTCAGGTCTGGCATCGCCTAAAGCTGCTTCTGGGAGTAGCTGCTAAAGAGTTTGACAAAAGTGGGCCCCTGAGCCCTGCAGTGGTTGATGCTGACTCAGCAGATGTGGGCCTTTTCTTGGCCCAACTTTCTGCGGCACTAGACCCTCCGGGTGGCCCAGGGCTAACGGGTGAGTTCACGCACAGCCTGGCCCAGATGTATTTGATCACAGAGTTCGTTTTTTTGCAAATGTGTGTCTGTGTAGCTGGTCGGAGTTGGGAGTTGTCGATCTAAGCAGGGGGGCAAAGGAGAGCTTGAAAGGAAGGAGGAGAGAGCAGGCCCAGCAGGGCAGGGAAGAGGCGTGGGGGCTGTGCGGCCTCTCTGCAGCTCTCCTGTGATGCTCAGACCCAGACCCAGATGGCCCTGCGCTCAGCCAGCACCTCTGGGCCCCTCCTGGAAGGGAGGCCTTTTCTGGGTGACAGTCCCAGTTGCCCAGAGGGGAAGTGCCTTCCTCATCAGCGGGCTCTCTCCTCTGCAAAGGGGGCGGGGGAAGCACTGCCCACCACATGCATCCTCCCCCCTCCCTCCCTCCCATCCGCACACAGCACCACATGGATCCTTCCAGCAACTTCTGCAACTACCGCACGGCCCTCCAGGGGGCCACACAGAGATCCCAGATGGCCAACAGCAGCCGAGAGAAGATTGTGATTCCTGTGTTCAACCTTTTCGTCAAGGACATCTACTTCCTGCACAAAATCCACACCAATCACCTGCCCAATGGGCACATCAACTTCAAGGTGAGCTCAGCCCCAATGTGGCCCAGAGGGAGGGCCGGGCTGTCCCAGCACAGAGCAGGGCAGGCCTCCCGGCCGCCCAGGGCAGGCAGGACCCACCTGTGCAGGAGAGCGGCAAGGTCATGGCCCTGCATAGAGGGCCTGTAGGACTGGCAGCTCCAAGGTGGTCACACTATGTGACCTCGAGCTGTGAGGTTGGCCCCACCCTTCTGGGTGGGTGCCCTGGTTATAGGGCCTGGAGCCACAGGAACCTCCATTTGCCCAGGACACTAGTCCCGACACTGGTCCCACTGGTAGAACCAGGAAGGCTTTAGGTAAGAGGGACTCGAGCAGGGAGGAGGAGGCAGCAGAACTCCAGATGGAAACAAAGGTCTGCCTGGCCAAGGGGAGGAGGGTAGGACAAAGGTGCTTGGGGAGGTGCAGGGGGAGCTGTGTGCTCACCTCACATAGGTCAGGGGTGGGGTTGGGAGGTGCAAGGAGAGCTGGGTATCCAGCGCTCACCTCACACAGGTCAGGGTGGGAGGGGGTTATGGATTCCCACACGGGCCCCAGAGAGTGGCATGATGACATGCTCAGATGGTGGTGCTGCCTGGTCTGGCTGGGCTGACTGCCTCAGCTCGGGGTCAGGGGTGGGTCCCTGTTGGGGTCCCTGAGCAGGGGAGGCGCAGACCCTGCTGCCAGCCTGATGGCCCAGGTGGAGGGCAGGACGGTGCGTGCTCTGGGACACCTGCTGGCTCTGACGCTGCACAACATGCTCGTGGCCCCCAGTCAGCTGTGCGGAGCCCCCGCCTCCGGTGCTGGCACTGGGCAGGGAGCAGCCCTGGCCCTGACCGAGGTGACGGGGACGCCGCTGTCCTCTGCCCCTGCAGAAATTTTGGGAGATCTCCAGACAGATCCACGAGTTCATGACCTGGACGCGGGTGGAGTGTCCCTTTGAAAAGGACAAGAAGATTCAGAACTACCTGCTTACGGCGCCCATCTACAGCGAGGAAGGTGAGGCCGCCCCGCCTGGCAGCAGCCCCCACAGCACCTGGCCTCGACTCCCCCTTGTTGGTCTCCATGGGGGGCTGATCACTATCCCCACACCACACAGAAGGAGCCCGGCCACAGGTGAGTTTGTGAGGGGGGGTGGTGGGCAGAGGACAGAAGAAGGATAAGGACAAAGGAGACCAGTCTCTGAGGCCACTTGAGAGCCAGGCGGGTTCCGGCCAGCGCTCAGAACCCAGCACCAAGCAGGGCCCCCGAGCAGGTAGCTGGGAGCGCGGGGCCTCGAGGGGCCTGGGACCTCCCATGGCAGAGATCTGTGGACGAGCCCCGCCAGAGACCACTGCCCCTGGGTCCCGGAGTCCCTTCTTAGCCTCGCTGTCCCTGCCACGAGGGCTGGAGAAGGGACGGGGTGGGCTGACTGCATGCGGACAGGCGTCTGAGCGGCCCTCCATCTCTCAGCACTCTTCATCGCCTCCTTCGAAAGCGAAGGGCCCGAGAACCACATGGAGAAGGACAGCTGGAAGACCCTGAGGTAGGAGAACTGAAGGGGCCGCCCAGGCAAGGAGGGGAGAGGACGGGGACGGGCATCATGGACCTGCCTTCTGGAAGGCAGCCGAGGGCGCGGGAGGAAGGGGTCTAGGCAGCTGCCAGTGGAAGGAGGCTGAGGACCTGGGTTTGAATGTCCCGCCTCCTCCCCCAATGGCCGGGGCCTGGAGTCCACGCCTCCCGACTGCTGGGGAGGGGCCTGCCAGCCGCTGACTGACTGCTGTGCCCGTCCCCTCTAGGACCACTCTCCTCAACAGAGCCTGAAGCGTGGGTGCGGCCTGTGACCGAGGATGTGCACGTGAACCGAGCTTTAACCTTGACCTGGGTGGAGATGGGGCGGCCTCACTGGTTGGGGCCCATTTTGTATATAACTTTTATGGAAAAAATGGTAATTATTTCATGCATCAACCTTTGGCGCAAAGTGTTTTTGTTCCTTTTAAATAACAGGGCAGCGCCCTGGTTCAGGGAGGGGTGGGGAAGGAGTATCATGGGAGATGGCATCCATGATCACATCTTGGCCTAATGAAGCGTAGATTTTTATTTTCTACTTTTGATTATATTCACCGAATGAGAAAATATTTTAAAAAACCCTACCAAAACCAATGTGAGCCCTGCCTGCTTGGACGCCCCTCCAGCCAGTGTCTCGGATGTCAGGGCTGGTGCCTTAGAGGGTCCCAGAGGGCGGCCCGCGGCCGGCGGCGCCTGCCCGCAAAGCCTGGGCCCACGAAGCCAGGGCCGCAGCTTCCAGGTTCCCACAAGGCCTTGGGAGGCCAGGAGGTCTCGTTCGCATACTTCTGGAAGCAAACCTTTGAGTGCGGGCTTTCCAAAGTTTACATTTCCTTTTCCTTTATCAGGGATTTCTGGGGTCGGGGGGGAGGGGCAGGGGGACACCTGGCGGCATATTTTTCTGTTGGAACATGTCTGGCCAATCTTTCTTCAACTACATTTTAGGAAAATAGAAAATCTAAAATAACGAAAGGCGAGGGAGTTGTGCAATTGTCCGTTTTCTCGGTGTACGTGGGACACACTCTGCCCAGCATTGGGAGGCAGTTTCCACTCTCAGATGCACTGAGCACCCTCCACAGCGACATCCTGGCCGTGGGCCGGGGCCTCCCTGCTCCCTGAGAGCGGGAGGTGGGCCAACCACGCGGCCTGCGTGGCCCTCGTGGTGGCTTTCCTTTGTGGCGCTCCTCACCCTGGTCTCTCCATACGCCTGGCTCTGCAGGCGCCTCCAGCGAGAGGCCTGCCCGCTGCTGCTCCCACCGCTCCCAGGACACCCGGAGGTGCGGGCCAGGCCTCAGGAAGGGGTGGCTCTGTGGTCGCTGCTGCCGTCGCCTGTCACTGGGTGGAGCGAGAATATTTGCACTGTATTGTCACAGTGTTTTTGCACTTTCCAGATGTCCTAGATAGTACATATTGTATATTGATAGTACATATCGCTTTGTTTATGTATTTGAGATAAAGGCTTAAACCTGAGAGTATATATTTGGAATACGCGTTAGAGCATTTTCTGTCCACGTGTAAGGAGTTTCCCGTCACCTCCACGTCGCGGCCCCAGTTGTGTGCTCACCTCACCTGTCTGTGCTGCCACTTCATCTTCCCAGTTGGGTCCATCTCCTGACTGTGATGTGTTGGTATTTTGAGATGAACTGTGAGCATCAAGCTGTACTGTAACACAGCATGTCAGCTGTTGGTGTGACTGGACATACTTGCATCAATAAAAGAACATGTTGCTCCCCTCGTGTGCCTGTTCTCTGCAGCCGGCCGGCCGGCTCTGCCAGGGCCCCGCGGCCTTTTCAACGGGAGCAGGCCGCTCTCATCCACACCGCTTCCTGACAGAGGGCTTCGAGGGTGAAGAGTACAAAACAGCACTTCCCTAGGTGGCAGGTTCCAGCCGGCGGTCCTGAGTAAGATCCCAGATGTCAGCAGCTGCTGTGTGACACGGCCATGTTCAGTGTGGGAAAACCAACTTAAATGAGATGGTCAGGGCTCCTCTACTGCAGGACTAACCGAACATGCAGAGTTGTGGGCTCTGTGGGCTCTTCCGGGGCGGGGGAGGCTGGGCACCTGTGGCATCTCCCTAAAAGGCAGTTTGCAGAACAAAGTCCTGTTGTAATGAATCACCTTCAAGAGCACTAAAGACAAGGGGGTAGGGGCACGTGAGGGCCTGTGGGACTGAAGGACAAGGAGACTAGGAGGGAAGCCGAACTCCCACCTGCTTTTCTCTGGCCGGTCCCACTGCCACCTGTTTACAGTGCCCGGGCCCCACAAGGTTCACGGTCAGAGCTCACCAACCCTTCCTGCTCCTTAGAGTAACCAGCTCATTTGAATGTGTGCAGGGTCTGTCGTGCCCACTAGACTAGTGCTGCCCAACAGCCCCTTGTGCTGAGACGGAATGTCCTGTGTCTGCATGTCCTTACAGCAGTGTGAGTGACACAGCAGCTGTGACACAGCAGCTACTGAGTGACACAGCAGCTATTGAGTGACACAGTAGCTGTGAGTGACACAGCCCTGAGCACTGACTTGCAGCCAAGCGACCTGGGTGTGCCTTTAGATAGCTGGTGGCCACTGTACTGGAAAGAAGGCTGCCTCCTTCCCCAGGGCCCATGGTCAGCACACACTAGTTGCTCAGGGGCTTGTGGAACAAACAAGAACACCTGTGAGGATGTGAATTTGGGGTAAATGGCATCACTTTTTAGGTCTTTAAATTCAGTGGCCTCCTGATTTCTTGATAAAGTTAATTTTGGAAGTTTCTACCCATCTCATCTGAGAAGAGCAGCACATTTTGGGTCTGTGTCTTGAACATGGAGCTTTGGCTGGGAGTGGACAGCCGCTCGATTGGTTGGCTGGCGCTCTCCCCGTCACCCACAGCCTGGGAACTTGTTTGGAATTAATGCCCAGGGCCCCACTGCACACCTGAGCGTCTGGGCAGCAGGGGTGGCGGGGAGTTGTTCTGCAGGAATTGGCTCCTGCTTACCCTCCCAGCCCCTCCCAGGAACCGTCTCAGACAAAGCACGCTCAAACGGCCGCACGCCTGCACCGCACGGCTGTCCTGTTCCCACACATTCACATGCTTGGAGCCTCCTCACACCTTCCTGGTGGGGCACGCTCTGCTCCTCCAGGCCCTGTCCTCCTCCTCATTACCCTGCTGGCGCCTGCCTCCTGCACACGCCTCGGCTCTCGCTGTATGGGAGCCCCGTGTGTGGCTAGAGGCCAACCTCGCGTGCAGTTGCTAACAACGTCATATGATGACTGAATGTCACCCCTCACTTCACACACATTTCAGGCACAACTCTGTGTTACAGATCAGATGTGACTGGAAGGTAAGCTAAGGATCTCCACTAAGGCCAAGGAGACTTCTGTGACAAAACTAAGATTATTTGTGAAATACACACCTACTACCCCTGTGAGTAAAATGTATGTCTGATTCCTTAGGGAGGGGAGACAGGCTACCAGGTGTACCGGTTAATAATGCGGATTCTATCATCAACGAAAACAGGATAATTTCAAGAGAAGCATCAAAAGTGCTTTATTCAAAGTAATGTTCATCGCTAGCTACACATTCCTCCATCTTTCAGGTAATTTGTAGATACTGTCACAATAGAACTTTTCTTGTTTTGAGGCAAACCATTCAGAGACCCAATTTTCCACTTCTTCATGTTTTGAAGTGCTGCTCAGAAAGTGCGTGTGTCATCGATCAGAACAAGTGGTAATCTGAAGGAGCAAGGCCTGGTGAATACGGTGGGTGGGTTAATACTTCCCAGGCAAGATCTTTTAACGTGTCTTTAACTGGTTTGAAGTGTGTGATGGTGCATTATCATGAAGCAAAATTACTTTGCTGTGTCTTCTGGCCCATTCTGGTCGTTTCACAATCAAAGCATGGTTCAAATTGATTATTTGTTATCAGTAGTGATAGTATTAATGGTTTCCACCTGGTTTTGGAAGCTCATAATACACCACACCCTCCTGACCCC